TTTTTTAGATCCTGTTTGTTTGTAGCGTGATAAGAGGACTGTGATGTCTTGTTCTATTTTGCTAATTTTTGAGGAGGTTTGTTTTTTAAGGAATGTTTTCTCTTTTATGCAAGCTCCTCTGGTGACCGCTTTCATTGCGTCCCATAGGAGGGGGGTTGTTGTATTGTTTACATCGTTTTCTTTGAAGTAGTTTTGGAGGGTTTTTGTGAGACTCTCTCTAATTTGTTTGTTTGTAGTTAGGATGGGACTGAAGGACCATGATGGGGTGGTTTGTGTTCCTTCTCCTATTTTAACAGTGACTTCTACTGGGGCGTGATCTGTGATTTTAATGTTACCTATGTTTGTTGATTCTACTGAGGGAATCAGACCCTGTGTGAGTAGAATGCTGTCCAGTCTGGACACTGTATCATGGCGTCCCGATTGGAATGTATGGCTGATGTCTCCCGGGTTTTGCTCACCCCAAATGTCATAGAGACCCCTGTTTTTTAGCATTTTTAGTAACTTGTAAGAGTTCCTGGTTGTTGGGGGTTTCCTTCGGAGGAAGGTTGCCCATGGGGTTGTGGGGTGGATATCTTTCAGGGATATACCTTTCATGTTTAGATTGAGGTCCCCTCCTAGGATTGCTTCCCCTTCAGAGAAGGAGAGGAATTTGTTTAGTGTTTTCTGGAAGAATTCTAGTTGTTTCGTGTTTGGGGCATATATGGAGCCGATTGTCAGTTTGATTTTGCCATCTAGTGTCCCTTTAGCGAAAATGAATCTGCCTTTTTTGTCCTTGAGGACTGTTGTGGCAGTGAAGTTCAGGTCCCTACTGAGTATTATGGCTACACCACGGGCTTTCCCTGAGCCTCCTGCGACCCACTGTTGACTAAAGCGGGGGTCGCTCAGGAGTTTGCTGCCTTTGGGTGGATTGTGTATTTCTTGTAGGAAGGTGATGTGTGGTTTCATGGTGTTTATGTATGAGGTGATGCGTTTTCTTTTGATGGGGTTTCCCAGCCCCCTCACGTTTAATGTAATTGCTTTTAGGTTAGCCATTTTGTTTATCTATTATGTGGGGCGATTCCCTGCCAACCCGTTCGGGTTGTCTTGTGTCTCTCTCTTCGTGTTGTTTAAAGAACCAGTGGGGTTGCGCTGACCTAGGGTGTGGTGGGTGGGGGGCTAGTAGGATTAGAGTGAGATTTGGGTTAAAGAGTAGGGGGTAAGTTGTAGGGAGTTTCCTATATGTAGTCATATAGGTGTTTGTTTGGGGTATTTTGGGCCATCTGGCATTTAGCCAGTTGGTCCTAGGTCTCAGCTGGTGTGGAAGGCCGTGTTCAAGGACAGGCCATCCCCCCTGTTGTCTGCGATAGGGGGTGATCAGCGAGACAGTGTGAAGTGACTTTGTAACGTCGCTGTCAGGTATAAGGTTTGTAAGCAGTGTTGCCAGTATTATGAGCAACATTGTTGGTGTGTTGGGGTGGGGATGTGGGTGCTGGTACGCTCTGGTGCCACCATAGTGCTGGTTGGGTATCAGATTTTAGCCTGATTGTGGGTTGTGTTATTAAGGTTGGAGTTGTTTTTCCTTAGTATGGAGTATGAGGATGTTGAAGGTGTGGGTGATGGGGAATGTGGTTGAGGTCGTCTGGACTGGTGTTGGGGTGGGGATTTCTGTGGGGGTGCGGGGCTGGGGGGGATGTTGATGGTGTTAACTAAATCTATGTTTTGGGGGGGAGGGGAAAAAAAGGGGGGGAATCACCAGTCCTTCAGTTTGTGGGTTTTTCCTGGTTGCTTCTTTCAGCCGGGGTTGTTGTTGTTGTAGGGTTGTCCATCTGCGATGAGTTGGTTTGGTTGATCTTGGTCTGGTTTCTTGTGTCGTATGGCCGGCGGGACGGTTCTGAGCATGATGCTTGCCTGTATTGGTTTGCGTTGTTGCGCCGCTTCTGTTGTATCTTTTTCTTCTGTACCGTTGTCCAGTTGTTTGCTGTTGTTTCCTCGTGGTTGGGGCTGTCACTTGGTGGGTTTGTCGGTTTCCATTCCGGCGGGAGGTCGAGTTCAAGGTTCTTTAGTAGTTGCAGGGCCTCAGGTATGTTGGTAGCCATGTGTTGTGTTGTGTTCGTTGTTACAATGAGGCGGAAGGGGAAGCCCCATCGGTATTTGATCCCTGCTTGTTGGAGACGCTGGGTGCATGGGCGCAGGCTTTTCCTCCGGTTTAGGGTATCCTGGGATAAGTCCTGTAAGGCCAGGATGGGGGTTTCTCCGTATCGAAGGTTGGTTAAGTTTCTGATGTTGTTCCATACCTCTTCCTTCTTTTGGTAGCGTGTGAAGCATACAATGATGTCTCTCGGGGGGGCGCTGGGTTTTGGCATAGGTTTTAGGGCTCTGTGAGCCCTCTCCAAGTCATCTGCCTCAAGTTTCAGGCTTGGGATTGTGTTTTTCAGCCAGCGTATAATTAGGTCTGCTGGGCTTTCCTCCTCTGTTTTTTCAGGAAAGTTGCGGAAGCGGATGTTACAACGTCTATTGCGGTCTTCAAGGTCGGCTTGCTTAATTTTCATCTCGTTGTGTTCTGCTTCCATTTGGTTTACCAGTTCGTCCAGTTTCTTGTTCACACGTGCATTCTCCTCCCGGTATTGTTCTATTATTCTTTCTTGCATTTGGTTCTTGTTCTCTAGAGCTTCCACTTTGGAGGTTAGATTGTTGATTAGTACCTGCATGGGAGCCATTGTGGCCTTCAGTGTTTCTTCTAATCGTGCTTCCATTTCCCTCAGATCTCGTTTCGTTATTGGGTGGTCATCATCTTGAAGGGGAGTTACCATCTTAGCATTGTTTGCCATCTCCCTGGTTGGTGTCATCTCGGTCTCCCTGATGGTTTTGGTTTGAGGTTGGCTTGGCATCCTCTTGGGGTTGGGCGTGTGATGGTTAGGAGTTGTGGCAGTGGTGATTCCTGGGTATTGTTGGGTTGCTGAGCTGATCAGGCTTTGTTGGCTGGTGGCTTTTACAGAGCGTTTGGATTAGGTGGTCATTTGTGTCACTTCTAGCCTGTGTTTTAAGAACTTCTCTAGGGCTTCTGTAGATGCCTCAGCGGTGCCGCCGAGGCGGGGGGGGGGCAGGTAAGCAGAGATGGGTAGACTCTCCTCTGCTTTCCCGTCGGCAGAGATGGGGGCAGCAACGGTAAATTTGGGGCTCCTTTTTCTTTCTTTCTTTTTCTTCCTCTCTCTCCCTTTCTTTCTCCCTCTTTGCGTTAGCTCCACTGTCCTCCTGGTTTTGGAGCTCCTCTCGGCTGTTGGGGGGGGGTCGGGTGCCTTTCCGGCTCAATCAAGGTCGTGGGGGGGTGTTTTGGCTCCTTTGATAGATGCCCGGGCACCCCCAATTCCTCTCCGTTGGCAGTGCTGGCAGCAGCAGTTCTGGGGGGTCCGGGAATCGGTCACCAGAGCCTTTTACTCTGGCTGGCTTCAGGAGCTCTTTTCTTCTGCTGCGGCCGCCATGCTGCCTCGCCGGAAGTCCACTGTGACTCATCTTGAGGATGACTCCTTCTCTGTATAAGTACAGTATCTGCTTGCAGGCAGACTCAGAGTGTGCGATGGAGCCTGAGCTCTGGGAAGCCTGTGCTCAATGGAGGCTGTTGGTGCATAATGCCTCTGTGTGACTCAGTAACTCTGTGTATGCTCTGGAGCTAGTTCAATCTTCTGTTCACTATGCTGTTATTTGCAAATAAGTTTAACTCAGTAAAGTTTTGATTCTTTTAGTGAAGAAGACTCTGTGTTATTAATTTACGCTGGGCGTCAGGTTCTCTAAAGGGTGGCAGGTAGCAGTTGCTCCCAGCCTGGCCTAGATAGACCAAGGATTGACCCACCCAGGGACCTTTTTAGGCCACAGGGTCAGTCCTCAGCATCTCCAGGTGAGGCTTGGGAAACTGTGATCCGAACCCCTGGTGAGCTGCTGCCAGCCAGGCCAGAGGAAGGCAGTCTGGAGCTCCCGGGACCCGGGACCTGGCTCCTGAGGCAGCTGTCTATGCAGCCCAGTGGGTGAGGTCTTCTGCCAGGCAAAGGGCCAGGTGCTTTCCTGCATATTCACCTCTGGCGACTGAACACTTCATGGCCGAGCTTCAATCTGTCCCTCTGTGTGCCTGTGTTGGGTTAGCACAGCGAGTGTGCAAGTGGTTCTTGCATCCTTAGAATCAAAGAATTGTGGAGTTGGAAGGGACCTTGAGGATCATCTAGTCCAACCCCCTGCAATGCAGGAAGATGCAGCTGTGCCAGAAGGGGATTGAACCTGCAAGCTGGGCCTTCTCATCCCCACACCTGAAGCCAAGCAGGGAGTTGAATCAAGGCCCTTCTGGGTGCCCAGAAGATGCTCTGCCACTGAGCCACAGCCCCTCCCAAACAGAAACACAGGAAGGGGATTTAGACCCTAGATTGCTCCATCTACCTCAGAGTGGCTGGGGCAACCCAGGAAGATGGGCGGGGTACAAATATCTAGTAGTAGTATTAGTAGTAGTAGTAGTACAGTGGTACCTTGGGTTAAGGACTTAATTTGTTCTGGAGGTCCATTCTTAACTTGAAACTGTTCTTAACCTGTAGCACCACTTTAGCTAATGGGGCCTCCCACTGCCACTGTGCGATTTCTGTTCTCATCCTGAAGCAAAATTCTTAACCCGAGGTACTATTTCTGGGTTAGTGGCGTCTGTAACCTGAAGCGCCTGTTCTAAAAAGCAGGTGTCTTCCCCCAGCGACAGCTAGACTGGGGACTGGGAGCAGCCACCGGGACCACAGAACACTGGTCCTAAAGGATCTACAGTGGCTCCCGGTACATTTGTGAGCACAATTCACAGTGTGGGTCCTGTATACCTGAAGAAGGGTTGCCACCTGGTTTTTAAAAACAGAGTTTTAAAATTCCATCCTTGACAGGAAACTTAAAAGGATAGGAATCTGGCTGCAAAACCTTCTTTTGAGCACGTCCAGCCATGAAGCTAGCTGCCTTCCTTCCCTTTGCCCCACTTAAGAATCAGGCAACAACATGGGAACTTTAAAAATAAGCTTTATTTACTTTATAAATCATGCATCGGTTCACATCAATAGTGTCATTAAAAACTGTGCAGGCAAAATAGTGTTATACATTTGCCGGAGACCCCCCCCCAAACCCCAGAAATACACAAAAGGTAGAATTTTGATTAATTGGGATATCAATGAAAGTACAGGCTGCACAACTATGCCAGACAAGGAATTCCTGGGCTGACTTTTGCAAACCAGGCTGGCCCGTCTAGCAAAGAGCAAATATGTTAACACACCTGAGATTGCTGGGCACACGACCCAAGGGGAAGTGGGGATGAGCCCCAAAGGTGTGGTGGGTACACAGCCTATGGTTTCAAGGGAAACGTCTCTAGCAGGCTTTAGCTTGCACAGGGCAGAAGCGTAGTGAGATTTATTTTGTATTATTTCTTTGCACCATCACTGCGTGTGACCCTTTGAAAAGAGGCTCCTTAAGCTCTTTAATTTGAGGCAAGGAGGCAACAGCGAAAGGCTGAGGGTCCAGGGTGGTCCCTGAGTCCTGCTGAAAGACAGAAGCCAGGATCTGTCAGTTCAAACTTCTGGGTTCCCTGGCATTTCCCATATGTATCCTCTGGGACAACACTGCGCCTCTACCACCACTGGCTATTCATGGTCTCAGCTCGCGTGTGACGCTACAGTTCCCAGATGGACACAGAGTACAACTGTGAACATTAAAAAGTCAGGAGCCACCAGCAATTTCATGCTCTGTGAGTTTGCCCAGCAGCATGGTGTGGCAATGCAATAATTGGGGAATCTGCAGACAGTGAGAGCCCATTCACATGAGAGCCCATACTGTATCCTGCTTCTTCCACAAGGCCAGGCTCCAGGGATGAGGCTCCAGATCCGGCACCCGGGATGAAGAACCGAACAACATCCCTGCGGTTCCCGGCTGATGTCCCTTGCACCTCTTCCCCACTGCCCCTTCTCCGTGTGGGCATGGCTCCTTCCTGGCCCTACTTGGTGCAGAAGCAACACCCAAAGTTTCCTCCCATTAAAACAGCCTCACAAGTTATTTCAGAGAGGGAGGAGACTTTGGTTTCTGCTTCTGTGCTAGGCCGATTGGGACGGAGCCCAGACGCCCATACAGAGGAGGACAGGTTGGGGCAGCTAATAAGATCAGGTAGGAGGAAATGCCCCCTTCCCAGGTCCCCCCCCTCCTGCCCCAGACTGGGCTAGCGTGGCTGGGAGCTGGGCACCTTGCTGATGTCTCCGTTTTCTTTGCAGGGAGGGAGCCTTTCCCCAACATATACTTTGTTCTGGTCAAATCCCTGGAGAGATGTGACGACCCTCAGGTACTGGGGCAGAGGGAACACAGGGGTCCTTCCATAGTTTTTGGCCCATCTGAGGCCCATTCTCATATGATGCCCTGCTTCCTCCACAGGGCCACACCTCCAGGGATGAGGCTCCAGCGCCTGCTCCTGGGACGAAGAACAACAGACCATCATGGTGGTTCCCGGCCCCTGACCCTCGCCTGCCTCACCCTCCGTCCGTTCTCCGTGCGGGCATGGCTCCTTCCCGGTCCTACTTGGCGCAGAAGTAGCAGCCAAGGTTTCCACCCATCAAAAGCACATCAAGAGTTATTCCGGAGTCGGGGGAGACTTGGGTTGCTGCCTCTGTGCCAAGCCGGACAGGACAGATCCCAGACGCCCGTACGGAGGAGTTCAGGTTGGGGCAGCTAATAAGATCAGGTAGGAGGAAATGCCCCCTTCCCAGGTCCCCCCCTCCTGCCCCAGACTGGGGCTAGAGTGGCTGGGAGCCAGGCGCCTGCTGATGTCTCCGTTTGTTTTGCAGCGAGGAGAAGGTTCAGCCTGGGAGCCGCTGCATCCCGGGAGGGACTGGAGCCCAAACAAAGGCCTCTCACCCCAGAGCTAATGGGACAGAGGGAAAGGACAAAGACCCCCGCAGGGAGGCAAAGTGTGGAAAGGCTCAGAGTTCAGGTAGGGGGAAATGCCAATTGAGTGCTGGAGTGGGGGGGGGAGCAGGCCTGTCTCGCCCCAGCCCCTCACCCCCTCCTTCCAAGCCAGGGGTCTGGCCATTATGTGCCCAGGCAGGAGCAGCGATGGTTGGCAGCCAGTGGTGACGTGGGCATGGGCAGCATGGCAGGGGTGCTTGTTCTGTCCCCCTCCTTCCCTGGTTCACCTCGCCAGCGCTCAGGCTGTCACTGCAGAAGTTTGGGGGCTGCTCCCCCCGGGGGCCCTATGTCTCCACCGCAAGAAGGCCCTGCCTCCACTGGCTTGCCTGCCCATGGGCTTCTGCCGGGCTCCTCTGTGCCAAACAGGAGGAGGAGGGATGTGGAAGAGTGAGGAAGGGAGGGAGCTGGGAAGGCAGCCTGGGGGGGGGGAGAGAAAATATTGAGGGCAATGTGCCCCAGAAGGAAATCATTGGGGATGGCCCATGGGACCACTGTCCACTAGGGAGTACAATGTCCTTCTTCCTTCGCAGGGCTGTGGATTGGGAAAACCTCCAGCAGCCCAGCGGTGCTGGGAAACCCAGTGAAATTCGGAGGTATGCTGTGACCTTCTGTGGCAGGGGAAGTGTTTCCCTGTCATCTTACCAACTGCAGGTAAAAAAAAGTTCCTGCCCCGAGAGGCTTACAATCTTTAATATGACACAGGGAGGGAAGAGAGAAAGGTTGAGGTCCAGGCTGGATCCTGAGTCCTCCTGCGAGACATAAGCCAGGGTTTCTGAGTTTAGACTTTGGGATTCCCGGACATTTCCCACCTGTAACTTCTTCCTCTGTTTTCATTTTCCTTCCTGTCTCACAGCTTCTCAGAAAGGAAGGACAATGCAGCAGTTGTGGCGCCAGGAATCACTGGAAGTCGTGGTATGTTAATTCCATGGGGAATCCATTCCCCACATGTGCAGGAAGGTTGTGACCCCGACCTGCATGAAACAGGGCTGGGTTGGGGTGTTGCAGGCCGGTCTCGCACCACCCCCTCGCCCCCTCCTTCCAAGCCAGGGGTCAGGCGCCCAGGCAGGAGCAGCGATCATTGGCAGCCAGTGGTGATGTGTATTTTCCTTTCTGTCTCCCAGGTCCTAAGAGGCTACTGTACCGCAGGGCCCAAATGGACAAAGGGGTGACGGCCATGGAAGATGTGGTATGTTAATTCCATGGGGAATCCATTCCCCACATGTGCCAGATACGGCTCGGGTTGGTGAAAGTGCGTCTGAGTTGACGTTCTGTCAGTAGTTTTTAACCCCTCACAGCCCATTCTCATAGGATGTCCCCCTTCCTCCACAGGGCCACGCCTCCAGAGACGAGGCTCCAGCTCCGGCTCCCGGGATGAAGAACCGAACAACATCCCGGCGGTTCCCGGCTGACGTCCCTCGCGGCGCGTCCCCACTGTCCCTTCTCCGTACGGGCATGGCTCCTTCCCGGCCCAGTTTGGCTCCCTGACTTGCCTTGTCCACAGATGTTGATAGCTTGGCAGGTCCTCAGCTGTGGTCCCCAGATGATATTTTCTGTTGTGAATTACTGGTTGGTAACTTCCTCTGTTATTATTTTCCTTTCTGTCTCACAGGTTCTCAGGCAGGAAGGCAGAAGCAGAAACAAATATCCCTGGAGATTGTGGTATGTTAATTCCTTGGGGAATCCATTTCCCACATATTTATTTATTTATTTTAATTTCTATACCGCTTTATATTTGTAATAAAAATCTCAAAGCGGTTTACAGCATAATAAATCAGTAAAACTGTCATGGCCTGTGACAGCCCATTCACACGTCCAGTGATTCTTCCCTCAAAGCAGCCCTTAGTGTTGAGTTCTCTCCTGCTTCAAAGATCCCTTCTTTCTTCCAGGATCTCGCTTGTGCACCGCTGTGGCCACGCCTCCAGGGATGAGGCTCCAGCTCCGGCTCCCAGGATGAAGAACCACACAACATCCCGGCGGTTAATGGCTGTCAACCCTCGAAACGCTTCGCCACTGCCCCTTCTCCGTGCGGGCATGGCTCCTTCCCGGCTCGGTTTGGCGCAGAAGCAGCAGCCAAAGTTTCCTCCCATTAAAACCGCATCTAGAGTTATTTCACAGAGGGAGGAGATTTTGGCTGCTGCTTCTGTGCTAGGCCGGCTGGGACGGAGCCCAGACGCCCGTACAGAGGAGGACAAATGGGGAGCCCTTATAAGATCAGGTAGGAGGAAATGCCCCTGCAACGGCTATCCTGAAGCATTTTTATCAGGAGTAGTACCCTTTGACCACCCTCTCCTCCATTCAGTCGCCTCGTCCTCTTTTTAAGCCGTGCAGTCAGAGATGCTCTTTTGGTGCCTCTCATGGCCTGTGGCAGCCCATTCACATGTCCAGTGATTCTTCCCTCAAAGCAGCCCTTAGTGTCCAGTTCTTCCTGCTTCAAAGATCCCTTCTTTCTTCCAGGATCTCGCTTGTGCACCGCTGTGGCTGCTGCCAAAGCCTCCCATAAAAAGAACAAGAAAGAGGAAGGGCTGGGAGAACACCCTCCAAGTTGAGTGTCAACAGAGAATGGGAGAAGAACCTTCCTGCATGAGAGCAGAAAGGAGATGCTCTTGTCTTGAAGTGGGTGGGCCAAGCTTTCTTGGGGAGCACTGTCAGGGCAGGGGCATTGGGCATCCATTCCCCACGTCTGCCAGGAGGATACCAAGTCCTTCTTCCTCCACAGGGCCACGCTTCAAGAGAATGAAGCTGCAGGGGAAGTCCTTGAGTCCTTGAAGCTGCAGCGGAAGTCACTCCCCCTTCTCCCCCTCAGGCTGCTGTTCAGCAGGTGAAGCTGATTCTTGCCCCATGACACTATCCCCCTCCCCAAGGTGCCCTCCACCTGCCGGATGGGTGCCGCCCTTTGGGGAGCACAGTGGTGGAAGTATTGGACCAACCGGACATTGGGGGAGCATGGACAGGCAAGGCATCTTCCCATGAGGAATTTCCATTAAGTCCATGTCCATAAAAAAGGTCGTAGCCCCCCAATTTCTCTCATCTTCTTCTTTGGCAATCACACATAGCCAAGTAAGATTGTCTTCCATGAACACGATCTTAACAGTGAGTCCATAATGGACTATGGAGGCCAATTCTGAATCCACATGTCCTTCCACAGTGGGGATATAGATTTCCAGGTGGGAGTTGATCACGGTGAGGGTTTTCCAAACATGCTTCCTCCTAGTTTGTTTCTCCCTTTTGTCCTGAGTTCGAGTATCTTCAAAGTCCATGACACCGTTGGTAAAGGCTGTTCTCTAATTGGAGTGTTTGCATGCCAGTGTTTCCCAATTGTTTACATAACATTTCTTTTAGATCTGCCTTGAGAGAGTCTTTAAACTTCTTTCGTTGACCACCACATTACATTTTTAAGTTGCTTGGGAAGGCGATAATCAGGCATAGCCCAGGTCTGTTAAGCTGCTTTCTAGGTGTTTTCAGAGGGTGGTGTGAGGCATCTGGGCATTAGGAATACAAGCCAAGCCTGGCTCTGTGGCCCTCCTAAATTAAGGTTATTTTATTCCTGGCAGCTGGCAGAGCCCCTCTTCGCTGGGCATGGGACTGCCACGTTCCCCGGTCTCCACAGGAGACTCACAGTCCCTCTCTGCGTCTCTGTTCCTTTTTGGCCACCATCAAATGAGGGCGATGGTGACTCTCATACTGGTCCTAAGCTGAAGAGCTGCCCAGCCCAACTGACCTCCTCCCTCCAGAACCCACCGCTCTCAACTGACTCCAACTGCCTCCCCACCAACATTCAAACTCCCTTTCAAAGCCTCCTCCAATCGTCACTCTCCCCCAGAATTCCACACTCTCTCTTCCCCCCTCCCTCCCTGCTTGACATTCCCTTCGGAATCCGAATAGAATGACCTTAGTTACAATATTGTTATAGATTATGGGGGGATCCCACTAAACCCTAGAGATTAATAAATGGTGGTGTTTGGGATTATTTGGGATGTGAAGGGAGAAATACAAGCTGCAGAGGAATTCCTGGGCTACCCAATGCAAAAGGACCTGGCCAAGTGAGGGCCTTTAAGAAACATTTCAAGGACAAGGAGAGCCTAACTGGAAATGCAAAAGAAGTCCTTCTCCCTTGCCCTGTGGTGTGAACAGAAACTGGGGATTTGAAAGGGATCCAGGATAATGGTGTGTGGTGAGGAAAACTGAGGCTTTGAGCAAGGGGAGGCGGAGGAGGAACAGAGTCTGGAATCCAACTTGGGAAGGCTGGCTGCCCTGCTGTGGGGGACAAGTCCCTCTTGAAAGGACTTTGCTGTAAGATCTGGACTCCCTCCATGCAAACTGAAGATGTAAACAGGTGAATAAACTGTATTTCTTAAAGGTAAGACAGTCTCCGCCATGTCTCAGTTCTCCAAAGGTGAAAACCCGGAACCCCATGGACTCTTGCCATTGCTCAGTAGTGAGAGGGGAGGCACCTTTGGGAACAAAATTTTATAAGCCTGCTCTGTCAAGTCATCCTGTTAGAAGCACTTGAGCTTCCCATTCCTGGTTCCTAGGAAATTGGGGGAAGGTCTCTTCCCCTAAATGATTCTGGAAATTGTAGTGTGTTAGGGGTTCTGGGAATTGTAGGTCTGTGAGAGGAAAGCCGCAATGCCCAGGATCATTTGGGGGACGTCATGTGCTTTAAATGCTCATTGGATGCACTTTACATCATAGGATCATAGAATTGTAGAGTTGGAAGGGACCCCGAGGGTCATCTAGACCAACCCCTGCAATGCAGGAATCTCAGCTCAAGCATCCATGGCAGATGGCCATCCCACCTCTGCTGAAAAACCTTCAAGGAAGGAGAGTCTACTGCCTGGGATGAGGCTCCAGCGCCAGCTCCCGGA